GGGGGGGCCGCCTCCGAGGAGCGGTCAGTGACCCGGCCGGGCCTCCCCCGCGACGGCTGGATTTGCGTGAAGCAAAATCGGTGTTGTTGTAGATCAACAGAGCCGATCAAACTCCATTTTCACACCCCCTCATTGCTCCACCACGCTTCATCACCCTCCAGAACACGCCCCAGCAGCAGAGCTAAAAGCAGGACCCCCCTACCTTGACCACAAACCCTGCCTCACGAGAAAAAGGAAGGAAGAAAACCTAAAAATTCCAGAGGAAAATAACGTCACGGTCTAATCTAGAGATCCTACCTAAGTTACAAAACCAAACGCATGTGATGGACAAAGGGAAAAAGGAAGGAGGAATTTTTATCTGTAACTGAGACCAGATTTCCAAACTCCAACCTTGATTTCCAAAAGAACCGAAGGACAGTATCCATTTGTCCTGCAGCACCCAAGATCGTATCAACAAGAAGATTATCACAGCAGAGATGGTTAACAGTGTCTATCCCACTTGTAGGCTGCTGTTGGGATGTTGAGACAAGGGATGAAAGAAAGAGGATAGCATTTCCTTTCTATGAAAGCTTGTATCAGTAAACTTTATATATAAAGTAGTAAACGAAGCCACAATATATAGAAAGTATATGGTAATAACCCTGTGCCAGGTTATTGCCCAGCCAGTTTATATAGAGTGTCGAGATGTTCCAATAAAAATAAATTTAATTTTACAATATATACATATAAAATCTTTCCTGAAGGAAACACGTTAAAATATTTTCTTTAAGGCACCTAGGGAGAAAGAAAAAAGAGACAATAAGACAATATGCATTAAGATTTGGAACGTATCAAACAACTATGACAATAAAATAATTCAATCCTATTGTTTGAAGAATTTTAGAGGGAACCAGGCTGTCTTCCATTTCTGCTTCCTTAAGTCCTTCTTCAGACTACTCTATTAACAACATCAGCTATCAGTAGGTTAAAAAAATACCCCAAAAACTAAGCTATGATTCTTCACCGCACTGCATTCCAAGTACAAAGTTCCAAAATTTAACTCAAGTGTATCACTTAACATCCAATGTAAAAATAAAGTTGGTGGGGTTTTTTTCAGCTAATCACTGCGTGGAAGACTGGATTACATTTTGTTCCACAGAAATCAAGAATATAGAAACGTTCCAGACATTTTACAGCTACCCTACTTATAATTTTTTCTACATTTGTAAGTCACAGGTGGTTTCCCCACAATTCTTCCACATGCCTAAGGAACTCATGCACTGTAGGCTTATTTAGTCAGATTTATTAAAAGAACTTACTTGAAGAATTAAGTTATCTCCATTTCATCTCCATTTTTATGGCAAGGAGGGGTAATCATGGGTTCTGTTATTTCATATGTTTCTACGATCTCCTGGTAAGAGATGACACGAGTATGTAAGCTACAAGAGCTGAACTATTTCAATTTAATTGCAGTTACCAGCAGGTTTCTCATCCTAAAGCACCATTTCCAATTACTGTGTTTCTTCTGCACACTCTGAGTGAAGGACAAAGTTGTATGTGCTAAAAATTACTTTTTGTCTAAGATTTATTACAAACAGTGAGGAAATTCTATGGAGAACTTCCCCTCTAGAAGCAAGTATCATATAAAAGGGAAGAAACAGACTCCATATTTATGGAGTCCTCATAAAACAGGAAAGGCAAGTGTACTGGGTTGGTAGAGCAAAGCTGAGGGGGGTGCTGCTACAGGGGTGGCTTCTGGGAGAAGCTGCTGGAAGCCTCCCCTGTGTCTGACAGAGCCGATGCCGGCTCCGAGACGGACCTACCACTGGCCAAGGCCCAGCCAGTCACAGTCACAGCATGTTTAAGAAAGGGAAGTAAAAAACCCACCACCTAGAAGAGGGGACATTTTGCAGAGAGAGCGTGAGCAAGATGTGAGAGAGCGAGAACTCTGCTCCAGAGCAGAGATTCCTCAGCAGCCTGTGGTGCAGCCCATGGTGAGGCCAGCTGTGCCCTGCAGCCACGGAGGGTCACGGGTGGCACAGACCCACCTGCAGCCCGGGGAGGACCCCACGCAGAGCAGGGGTGTGCCTGAAGGAGGCTGTGACCCGGTGGGCACCCTGCTCTGGACCAGCCTTCTCCTGAAGGACTGCACCCCATGGGAGGGACCCACACCGGAGCAGTTGGTGAAGAACTGCAGCCCCTAGGAAGGACTCACGAGTCCTCCCTCTGAGGAGGAAGGACTGGCATTGACTGTGAGAAACTGACCCCAAACCCCTTTCCCCATGCCCTTGCACCACTTGGGGAGAGGAGGTGGAGAAAAACAATGAGTGCATTTGAGCCCAAGAAGAAGGAAGGGGTGGGAGGAAAGTGGTTTAAGATTTGGTTGTAGTTCTCTTTTTACTCAGATTTGACTGATGATAAATTTTTTTCCCCAAGTCCGGTCTCTTTAGCCCATGACAGTAACTGCCGAGTGGTCTCTCCCTGACCTGATCTCAAGCCACGAGCCTTTCATTGTATTTTCTTTCCCCTGTCCAGCTGAGGGGAGTGATAGAGCAGCTTTGATGGGTACCTGGCCTCCAGCCAGTATTAACCCCCCTCAGCAAGTCACTGCACAACTTCAAAGCACTTAAAACTGACCAGGCTTCAAGGATCAAAGATGAAATTGCTATCCCAATTCTCAGTTTGCTGCAGTTAACAGTATTCATTAAATTTGTGATTGTTGTGGAATCCATAAAATTAAATGGAGCGATAATATATATGGGAACGCCTGTCCTCATCAGGGTACATAACAGCACAAATCTCAGATGCATTCTTACACTTAAGGAAAAAAATTAACTAAAAGTATCAAGTGTTATGTATTATACCTTCCATTCATGATAGTTCAGAGAGATGACAACCTGGTTCCGTGCTCCAGCACTACGGTCACCTTTCTTCACCTTGTTGTCTTTTAGAGGCTCTGTTTAAAATACAGTATTTTCAGTATTTACACTTGTAAAGTCACTTTCCTCCAGGAACACAAAAGCCAATCATTTATACATGCTCTGCTAAGCCAGTCTCCATCAGCACTCTGTACCATATACTTCTTAAGAAATTTCTTTAGTCTTAACTCCTAAAAAATTAGAAACTAACATTTCTCAGAACCCCAGAAGGACCCAAGTATTTAATTCTTTATGAAATCCCACCAAGGTCTTAATCCCATTGATATCCTGTGGGAATGAAAGCCAAAGATCTCGTACACAGGACGGCATTTCCTTTTCAACTGTTCTCGAGTTGCAGCACTTCCCAACAACTCAGACAGACCCTGGGCACAAAATTATCTTTTCTCAGCAAAGCAAGAAACAAAAGTTCATATGCTTATTAGTAAAAATACCACTTAAAAGGAAAGGTAATAACCTTTCATTTCTATTAATAGAATTGGTGTAGATCTGCATAATTTAAAGAGACTCAGTCCTTTCAGTTCCTCTCATTCATCTCTTCATCCCTTCAATTACATTCACTGCATATCCCCCAACCTCTACTCCTGCAGCTAAAAATACCTAAAACTATGTGAACACCTAAGATGGAGCTACTTTTCAACGCTGTAACGAAAACCAACCACAGTCTTTTAAAGATCTTACCTATTATTGGTAATTTATCGTCATCCAGCTTTAATCTTGCAAAACCATCCTGAAAGACCGTAGGATTTAAAGTTTCAGTTATTACAGCTATCTAATTAGGATAGTGCACTGAGATTTCATATTTTCAATTAATATGTTACATAATCATGGACAGGTACATATATTGATAAAGAATCTTAATTGGCAGACCAAATAAAGATTTTAATATAGCACTTATTCACAGAGAATGCAGCTGATACAGGACAGTTGGTAACTGCTAGATTATTAAAAATTTGTTTTCTTAAAGATCATTATTATTCATTAAATACACCTGAGTTAACCCTTCATAATGACATCAGTATTCACTACAAACCTGAATTTAGTCAAAATATATGTTTTTCCTCTTTTCCCAAATTCATTTTATTTATTAGTCAAACCAAGCATAGCTTGAAGTAAAAATCTGCATATTCAAGAATAACACAACACTGCACCGACAGACCTTCCTACAACTCCAGTATCTCTTCTACACTCTACAACTACTCTTCTACAATCTAAAATAATGTGAGCTAGAATCCCTTTCTGGAAGTTTACTGACAGCAATAATGGCACTATTGTTTTGTTGGTAAACTGACTGTAGTAGAAAAATCTAACAAAAAAAACAACCCGTCTGTCCATTCTAATTACCAAAATATCATAGACTGTAGAAAACAAATTAGAATTCCTAATATTTAAATTTTAATCTGTCAATACTGACGCCATAAAAGCAAATAATTGATATTTTAGATAATTCCAGCATCTAAAATGAGATTTCAAGAACATGTGGCGCCTTACCCTTATAATGAAGGACACATGAAAGATGTTTTCCACAGTGCGTGCAAAAGAGTTTGGATCAATCACAAGATCAAAGAAGGAAATAGGTGTACCAGCTAGAGATGCAAAAAACGGGTTGGTTAAAAACAAGGTGTCACACAGAGAGCTGATCTATGTAAACACACACTTAAGAAAGTCAGTACTCCTTTAAAAGCCAAGTGAATGCGTCTGTCAATTTAGTTGAATCCCAGTTGCTTGCAGACAGAATTAAAGTTTCTAGATAGTATTATTTTCTTCCACCTTTTGCCATGCACAGAGACTGTTTCATTGCCTTCTTACAAATGGCATGCTCTAGCGAGAGGGTAGGGTTTAAATTCACTCGGCAAACAGCAACCAATTAATGTTCATAAAAAATACATGGTCAGTATATATCCTTCAACATCAAGATTTCCACTTGCAAACTCCACCTGATTTTGTTTCTATAGTTTAAGCACTCTTAACTGCAGAAGACAGAGCATTTGTTTTCTCAAATTAATGCTTTAAAAGCTTGACTGAATCATACTTACGATCATTTAAAAAATGAGTTTGCAATAATCCCAAAATCCTCTCTACTTCTTTTTCTGTAGCTTCCTGATGAGACTCCTCCATTTTTTTTAACTGGAAAAAAAAAGAAACATCATTTTACCTCAAATTTAACTGTTGTAAGAGCAGAATATGAAAAGGGTCTTTTATGAACACAGAAGGTAACTTTTTCTCTCTATGCCACACATGGGGTTACAGACACACTTACGTCAACGTCAGACAACGGTAAGGGCTTTAGGAATCAATTCCAATTTTACGGTATCAAGCTGAAAGCTCACAGTTTACGTGGTTTAAGTCTATCTACAGGTCTACTCCTGGGTTACCCCTACTGGTACACAGTCTCCGGGTTTACTGAAAAGGTTGATTCATAAGCATAGGGCAGTTCGTGAAGATTTCTTACTTTTTTCCAAAAAAAGTCACCTAAGTTTATGTGTTGCACTTGATGATCTTAAAGGTCTTTTCCAATCTAAAAGATACCATGATTCTATAAATAAAAACCCCTGTATAAGTATTCTCAGACTTTTGTCTTTCTGCCAGAGTAAAACAGAAATAGGGAAACAGAAAACAGGGAAAAGAGTGGTTAAGTGAGCTAATTATGTCATTGCTGTTAATTACATTTCTGTGCAAATGCCACACACAGACACTTTTTTGGGGGGATGGGGGTAGTTGTCAGTCTGTAAATCCTATTTCTAAACTTGAAATCAGCCTGTAAAGTCCTATTTCCTTCCACTCAATGAAATACTGCAGTCCACGCAAATCAAGAAAGCTAATACTTAAGTGTGAATCCTTCAGTACTGCACAGTTCACAACCACAAAACCCAAATGCACACTAACAGAAAAATGTTAAAAGTCACCTGTAATAACTACGGTGTAACAAATCATTAATAAAGACAACACTTCACAAACCTGAGCAGGCATTGCCCGTTTCTCTTCTCCTCCTGGAACCTTTTTCTGCCTCTCAATCCGTTGCCTTGGTACAGGAGGATCAGACCTGAAAGATCCCAACCTAACCAAAATAACAAGAACGTATATATGGAAACACGTTTTACACTGTATGCTAAGAAATCTATACACCCAGCAGTTGATCTCCTGATAAAAGTGCCAAGTAACGACGGAGATCTAAAAATAAAGCCTCATCGCATTTAGAGACTTCTGTAAACCATCCCCAAAAGGTGCTCCCAGTATGCGTTGGCAGCCTCACACCAGAATTATCAACAGGATGTATAAAAACTGATGCAATTATTCCAGCTTTCTTTTTTATAACTGAAAACTTTACATCTACTTTTCTTAAAGCTGCTTAGGAAATGAAACGGAGTATATGGTTGATGCCCTCCACTATCTCCATTTGAATCTATTACAAGCTTTTCTGCCTGAAGACTCTCTCCATACAATATTTATCTCCTTCTTCATCTATTGTTCAGTTTCTGTAAGTTCAAGTTCGCTTTAAAGAAAAAAAAAAGCACAGACAAATTTTGACAATATAGTTGATCAATAGAACATTCAGTACACTAAAATGAAATCCAGAGTTTCTCATTAAACAACATGAGTGTTATATACGTGCTAGATTTCAGCACTTTCTGGAAGTGCTTACCTCTCTCCATTGACTATATAAGGAACTTAGGCTCCTAACTTTGATTGCCTTGAATCTCCACCAAGTTAGATGCCTAAAGGAGAGAGTGTGAATGGAGACTCAAGTCAAGTTAG